CTGTTTTTAACATTGATAGTAATAAGAAATGTTTCTTGAGCAGCATATTAGAATGATTTCTGAAGGATCATGTGACACTGAAGACATGATGCTGAAAATTCAGCTTTGATCACAGGAATAAATTACATTTTCAAATATATTTAAATAGAAAATAGTTAGTTTAAATTGTAAAACAATATTTCACAGTATTACTGTTTTTACTGTATTTGGATCAAATAAATGCAGCCTTCCCTAGTAAAAACCCTAGTGACATTCTAAAAACCACAAATGTAAAAAAAAAAATCTAGTTCTAAATAAGCTTTTAAAATGATAGTTTTTGTGATCATTTCCTCACCATCCCTATCTTACTATTTTATTTTGTGTTAAAGAAATTATAACTTCATGTACATATCCCTTTAAGAACTTTACATTCTCACATGGCCAAAAATATACCTCGAACAATCACGCAAGTTTGAAAACTGTTTGTTATGTGACCATAACTCTTTCTGTCCAGGTGTCTGGAAATCTCTGACATCAGATAACCGATGTCTTCCATCCCTAACTGTGTTTCACTTCTGACCACTCAGGAAAACAGCCACAGAATGTCCAAGTGTCCATTTCCTGTCCTCATGCCTCACCCCATCTAAACCAGCACAATGCATCTTTAATTACGTAACACCGGCACTTCTTTTTATGTGCTTTTCCAAGGAGCATGTGCACACGCCGACGTGTGTGTTTCTGCACTAAGTTGTGACACTACATATCTCAGGGATGAGGCCATCCGAGGGGAACCTTAGGAAAATGACACAGAGGTTGATGAATGTGTTTGCTGTGGCACCAGGCAAAGCAAGCCTGACTGTCACATGCCTGCTTTTTCTCAGCAAACGTAATGCTGTTCTCATACATTGCTGCTGTTAGAGTACAGTAGAGACTGTGCAGAATAAATAAGTACAGTAAGTAAAGAACATTTGCATGTATCTAAGACACAATGCATTCCAAATTGCACCCAAAATGAACATTTTGTCATCATATTAAATTTAAAGCAAAAACAATGGCAGATGTAGACACGTCACGGCAGGTTTGACATCACTGACAGCAATTGTCATTTTGCCTGTCACACAGAAAAAGTGAACAATGACCTAATTTTTCATATGTATGGCTTCGGAAGATGTGAAATATAGTGCATGGCTCATATGAACTACAATTATTATACTTAAATGCTGGAAATATTGTACCGTGCAAAAGATTGGGGTTAGTATGTTTTGTTTTTTAAAGAAATTAATGCTTCAGAAATGACATTAAATTGGTCAAAAGTGTAGCGAATCAGCTCATGGGGAAATATGAATAATTAATCATAACTAGTTATAATTAATTATAAATATTTAGATCCGCTGTAGATATTTAGCTGACCTCTCAGGGTCAACTGTCTGTCAATTCTAAGAACGTTAATTTCCTGGTTAAGGTGAGGGGTCTGTGACGACTTGTTAATCTAATGAATAACTGATTTGTTAAATCAAATCAAAAATTGTGTTTTTGATTGGTCCAGACGCTACAAAAGTAATAGTAAAAACATTTTGAATATTACAAACTAACTTTCTATTAATCAAAAAAAGCCATTTCCACACAACTGATTTCAACATATAATAAAAAGAAATGTTCCTTGAGCAGCAAATCAGCATATTAGAGTGATTTATTTTAAATTGTAATAATATTTCACAATATTATGGTTTTAGTTTTTTTGCTGTTGTTGTTGTTTTTTTTATCAAATAAATGCACCCTTGGTGAGACTTCTTTCAAAAACTCCAAACTTTTAAACATTTACTGTAAATCAGCTTCTACACTCTAAAAAATGCTGGGTTAAATATAACCCATCGCTGGGTTATATTTAACCCAGCATTTTTTAGAGTGTACTTTCATTGTAAATAGAAAAGAACGTCTCAGACATTTTTCCTAACATTTAATTTTGTGCTTCACAGAAGAAAGAGGAAATTATAGAGCTGGAATGACATGAGAATGAGTAAAATTATTTTTTTTGTGTGAACCAATTAATTTAGTAGTAGTAGTAAATTTAATTAATGTGCAACACTCTCTTTTTAGTTTATACGAGTTACACAAACTACCTCCTAAATGTGATTAAACTTTGACCACTTTATGATAGAAATATACAATTAGATATCAGCATTGCATGTTTCCATGCCTCCCACATCCATCTCATAAATCGAGTGTAAACTCTGGCTTCCTGAGTTGAAATACTCCTGTGACGCTTCATGGCCGAAGTCTGAAAAAGGTCACTGTCGCTTTAAGAAGCATCCTGCTCGAGCTCTTTGACTTCTGTGAGCACCGCTCAGATCTACGTCCACAAATGCTGCTGATGTGCAGAGAAAGAGGACAGGAACACAGAAAGAGTCCAGATCACTGATTCACACATGGCTGGAACATCTTATGAGAGGCTGTTGTATGAAGATTAACTTTATTTGTAATTCAACAAAGCATCACTGAACTTCAGTTTCACCTTG